AATTCTACGTAATTGTATCCTTATTTGTATTCCATTTTAGACTTGATATATGGCATGGCCATGACTTAGTCCTTGTTATATATTTATTTGGGATCATTTGAATAATTTTTAAAATTTAGAGATTTAATTAATTTAAATTAATTAAATTCTACATGATGATGTCTTACTCATTTTGCATTTTTGATGAGATATATATAATGACTATATTATGTTGTTCAACATTTATTAATTTGAGGTTATTTGGAGTTGATTTGAAATTTAGAGAATTTAATTATTTTTGTTTAATTAAACTCTATCTAATTGCTCCATGGATTTAATTGTGTTTTAGAAGTTGTTTCTATGTTTAAATCATAGACTTGGACTTGTTGTATATTCACTTGGTTTTGTTTTGAGTATTGGATAACATTGTTGTTATATTTATATTCATGAGAACATATTTTTTTTATGAAATATATTGTTGCCTTGTGTAATGAGTTGCACACCTTGTATTTGACATCTTTCATACCATAATAGTTGTGGACTTAGAACATATATTATATGTGTTTTCAAATTTGGTTGTGCATGGTAGATAATTGATTATCTTGTATATACATATTGATATATAGGTTGTTGCATAACTTGTTGATTTTGGAAACTTGAGGATGTCGTTATTTGACTACGGCTAGGAAATGGTTCTAGTACAGGGGAATGTCCTCCTATAGTCTAGTGCGCACATAGGGAGGTTACCCGTGGGCTAGTAACCCTAAAGTAACCATGTTGTCTATCTGATCTGGCGTGATGTCCAAGTATCCACCTTGTTTGATTTCGCATTTCATTTCAAGTTGATAACTAGATGATGTTGTAACTTGTTGTTCCTTATTTGATTTCTCATTTTGAGTTTCAAGATGTTTACTTTGAGAATTCATGTTTTATACGTTGTATTGGAAGTTCCAATGTTAATTAAATTGCATCGATATTGTGATTTGTGTTTTGTTGTTCTAATGTAGCCTAAGACAATTCCTTAGACTCATTTGGAACATAGATACTAGGTGGCATGAACCATCTTAGTTGATTCGTATTTCAGATTTCAAGTTAATGACTTTGAGAATCTATATCTTGTTGCCTCGTATAACATACTTCTATGTTGTTGAATTGCATGAATGATGTAATTTATACTAGAAATGAGCTATGCTAGCTTAGGATGATCCCTGTGTCTCACTTTGACATAGATGTTAGGTGGCATGAACCTTTTGAATTGTTTCATGTTAATGTAAAAATCTTGTAAAAAGTTGAGTCTATGTATGCTCATTCCCTACGAGTAAACTTGTTTACTTACCCCAAAGTTACCGGGTGATTTTTAGGTACAGATGCCTTGGCTTAGGATGCACAATATCCCTAGATCATTTCGTTGGATTGAAGTTCATTTAAATGCACTCTTGTTCACATGCAAGTGTTAGCATGTTTGAGTTTTACTTTTAAAGTTGTAATGTGTAGTTATGACAAAATGTCATTTTTGCCTTGGACTTGTAATGTATGCCTAAGCACACTTTTTGATACTCATTATATGTATATGATATGTGGTCAAGGGCCAAACTTCATTTGAAATCCTTGTATATTGAAAAATGTAGAATTTTGCTTTTAATGAGAAAAATATGAAAACTAGGGTTTCAATATACCATTTTTGCACCGGAGTGTGCATTGTGTATGAAATTCGTTCTTGGGCATTCATTTACCATGTGTGAGGTGTGGCCAAGGGCTAAACACCATTTCGTTTTTACTTTTGCATTTTAGTTTCACATATTGCATTTTTGGGCCAAAATAGTAAAATCCGAGCCTTTAAGGGTTCATTTTCATATTGGGTGGTGTAAGGTGTGTTCCGACACATCCACTAGGATTCATTTATCTTGCATGGTGTGGCCAAGGACCAAACGGTAATTTGAAACCATTTTATAATTTTAAGTTTCAAAATTCCCTTTTCATGTGCATTTTCGTCTTTTTGGCCGTCGGGGGGTTGATTTTGCATCGGCGGTATTTTTAAGCCATGGATCATTGTAGCATGTCCTAATAGATAAGTTATGTCTGAGTGCATGATCGTTTCCGGGAAAAACTCTTTCATTGGCGAAATGAGCCTCCTATGGACTCATTTCATATTTTTGTTAAAAAATTCGGTTTAAGGGCATTTTGGGGTTTTTCTTTGGGAAATAAATTCCGGTCTTGACTCCTTCACATAGAAAGTGTGATTTTAGGGGCAGTTTCTTCACGACATTTTTCCGAAAAATGTTGTCTTGGTATCAAAAACCGCGTTTTAAACTCATTTTTCTGCTTTTTCTACCATTTCTGCTGTTTTTCTGCAACCTGGGTGGGTTGAACTGGTTCAAGGTGAAGCTTTGGGTCCAGCATGGGCGTACTACCCATGTTGAACCGGTTCAAGTGTGCTAAACCGGTTCAAGTTCTCCAAAACCTTTTTGCAGGTTTAGCTTTGGTCTTCCAACTTTGAACTATCGTAACTTCTTCGTTTTAACTCTGAATTGGTCCGTTCTTGAGTCTAAACTGACCGCGTCGAAGTAAGATTTCCTATGGTATGAATTTCAGTTGCAGATTCTTCTCCTAGCTCAAGATATCCTTATTTTAGAGAGAGTGTGTCAGATTTGGTTCGAACCGTGATAGGGTTCATTTGGGATTTCTCTTCCTTTGGCCTTGGGACTTCATATGAAGTTACCAAAGAATGTTTTTGGATATTTTTGATCTCATTTAACTTGTTGGAAGTCAAATTCCTTCCTCTTAGGGTAAAATAACCATTTTACCCTTGGTCCTTCTTTTGGTAGGGTTTTGATACCCTTTTTTTCGTTTTATTTCCGTTGAGCCTCGAAACTCCTTGAAAGGCCATTCTTGTGTCCTAGGGATAATATGCATATCTATGGACTTGTTTTCGTTTTGTTTCTGCATTTTGGATCCGCTTTGAGTCATCACAGGACACACTGGGTTGAAAAATTCAGGGTCGTCACATTTGGTCCCAGTGTGCTCGAGCACAAGGCCAGAGCTCAAGCACAAATAGGTAGTGTGCGACCCATTAAGAGCCTGGTGCGTTCCAGTTTTTACTCCAAACTTCATTTAACCATAACTTCTTCATTTCTAACCTGAACTAGGTAATTCTTGAGCCTAAATTGAAGGATTTTGAATCCTTTTTCCATTAGTATCAGTCTCATTTCATAATTATAATTTAAAATGACCGTTTTACTCTTGTAAGCCCTACGGTTCCAGTTTGAACTTAAAGTCAGTGTTATCATTTTTTCATGATCTGATGTGGTTACAAATGAACTGTATGGCTTCATCACGACCCTTAACACATAATAAGAAGCATAATGACCGCATTGCCCTCAGTGTTTTGAACTCGCAGATTTGGGTCGTTACAAAGTGAGTTCGACTTACTTCATATAGTCAAGGTATATAGCTACCTTTGTAACCTCTAGGTTCGGTCACACTAGCGTCAATTTTTCGTCTAAGTCTAGTTCATCATAATCGAATTATATTCAATTTGATTTTCACCATGGCATACATGATTAATGAGATATGTAGGCAACTCAATTAGGTCCTGGATTTGATCACGCCACACTTATATTTTCTACGTCCTACACCTTTTAATCCTAGTCACACCTATTAAGGCCTTAGATCATTTCATATGTACGCTACAGTCATATTTTCTACGTCCCACACCTTTTCATCCTAGTAACGCCTATTAAGGCCTTAGATCCTTTCACGAAATTATTGAATACCTCGAGGGTATGGTACCTCAGGACAGTGAGAGTCATTGGATCATGGATATGGTGGTGGGCCCTACCGCATCCAAGGGATGGGATGACCCTAGGGTACCATACCCCTAAGGTATTCAATAATTTCTTCGCATGCAAAAATAGTTTAAATTTTAGGGAATGGTAAATTCATAAGCAACACGAAAGATAAAGTAAGTAATGTGTGGCAATGGTAAATTCACAGGCAACACGGAAGATAAAGTAAGTAATGTGTTAAACGTGGATGTCTTGAAGTGCCTAACACATTCCCTAAGTATAATTAAATCCTGGAATCCATTTTTTTGGATTACACCAACTAGTTGATAGACAACATTAAGGCCTACGTTCCAACCTTATAAGTGTCCATCCCACCACTTTTGTTAGGTGGCAACTCCAAACCACATAGAACATTGGCCCTATCTATAACATCACACTCTTAGGTCATAGCTTCTCCGCCGCATAAAGATTCACGTTTTCACTTCACGAGAGTCGATAAGGACCTCTCTTTAGGGGATGAGACAATCGCAGGCGCAACAATACTGATTAAAAACGTGACTTCAAAATTTGGTCACTTTTGAGTTGTGTTGTAGATAACGAAAATCAATATCCTTGAATTCTAGGTTGTTAGTTTTCTTTGTTTCGATTTGGCCAAACTCTTCTATTTATATCTAGGAAGCACATATCTAAATAACACCGGTACGACAACGCAGTGAAAAGAAAATTTTCAAAAAAACAAATAGGACACAAATACGACATAGATACGTTAAAAAACAAAAATGTAATAAATTGTTTTTACATTTTTAAAACGAGACATTTAATATTTAATCAAATACTAAATAATTTAAAAAAATTTGTCATAATTAATCTAAATAGTCAAAATAAAAAGAAAAATTATAAGGCATAAATAAGGTTTATATTGAAATGACTTAATTATCCATAGTAATTGGGTTTAGCCAAGTAACATATTATATAGGTCATATTCACAATTATAACATATTGAGTTAAATGGGTTATCAACGGGTTATACGGGTTGAATCCCGAATCCTAACTCAACATGATTAAATAAACGAGTTAATCATGTCAATCTTTTTATCTTTTTATGACCCAAATCCATTTATGCTAAACCCAAATCCACTTCTTAACTCATGCCGTGTTACCCTTTGTGGTAATTTGCCACGCTAAGAGACTTTACAAGGCGCGTTGAGTTATATATATATATATCTGTGTGTGTGTGTGCGCGCGCGCGCGTGTGTAAGTCAAGTCGGAGAATTCATCGATTTTCTTTCTGGATCGCTCGCTCGATCACTCGCGTCTGTGATTTTCCGGAGTAGCTAATTTTTGGTGGGCGGATAGAGGAGGACGAACGATGAAGAGCAACTCGGAGAAAAGGTTTGTCCAACAAAAGAAAAAAAAAAACCCTAATTTCATTGTTTCGTTTTGGTTTGCTAATCTGAATTTTGCCCCTTATTTCTTCTACTTGTGAGTAAATTTTATATAACTAATACTGTTGTTGCTATTTTTTCTATATGCATATATTTCTGTTGAACTATTGATAATATATTAACCGAATCACCCTGGAAATTGGAATTGGGAAGCAGAGAGGAGAAGAAGCGGAAGGTGTTCAATTTGTTGTTAAAAAGAATAATGGGAAGAATAAAGGTGAAGAAGAGGTCGAAGAAGGTTGAGACAGGGACGGTAGAGGGACTATCAGAGTGGTCAGTATTGAAGTCAGAGGAGAGAAAAAAGTTTCTTTGCGTGTTTTTTAAATTCGAAGATGGTCCACTTCTTTATTCTTTGTATGCCTATGTTATTGCGGCAAGCGATTTTATCAATGTTCCTAATCCACCACCACCCTCTCCTGCCGTGACAATACTAGAGATGCCCCGTCATGAAAAATTCCCTATCGGGATGGCCTGCGTGGAGTTGGGTTCTCGAATTTACTTTGTTGGAGGTCAGTGCCAGTTGGAGGATGGATATTATGCCTCAAAGAAGGTTTATTACTTGGATTTCAACACCTTTAGAAATAAACTGACCTCTACTACTAGTAGTAGTGGTAGTCTAATCAATTGTGATGAATTATCAGAATGCCCCAATATGAATGGGGGTAAGTGTAATCCGGTTGTTATGACTGCGAATGGTAAATTATATGTCTTAACTAGCCTCATTGGTGGGGATTTGAATACCAGAACTTTGGGTTCCCCTCCTGATTTTAATGTCACTGACTGGACTTTGATTGCTTTTTATGGTTCTGAATGGAAAAGTTGTGCATTCGAAGTCTATGATCCCGTGATGGATGAATGGACCATACTGCCTCTGCCCACTTCATATTCTTCTCCAAAACATATACTTCCTGCTTATTGTCATGGGCATGCCGTCATCCATGACAAGATCTTCTTCTGTAACTGGGGTGACATCATTTCTACTTTTGATTTGAAAACTCATAAATGGAAATTCTTCGATGCCAAAACCATTGCAAAGACACAGGCACAGACTTGTGACGATGCCTTTGCACGTTCGTTGGTGGATAATCCCGTGAGTGGATGTGGCCTCGTTCTCAATGATACCTTATATGGCTTTTCACCAAGTAGAGGAGGGGTCTGTACCTTTTGTGCATATCATATCCCTGACAACCTTGGAGATGCATTTATATCTCGTGCTTCACTCAAATTGACAGATTCATACCAATTGAACAGGGACTCCAAATCAGGCTTAGTTGCTGTGCAGGCTGGTTTCTTTTATTTAGGAAATGACAACTTCTGTTCAGTTTTTCGTGAGACTCCAGAAATCAAGTATACTGAACAAGAAGATGAGGACCCTCACGAGGCTTCTGAAGTTTACTTCGTAGTGTTTCAAATTGTCAAAGAAAGAACTTGCAGTGGAGATATCTGTTGGCCTATCAATCAATCAAGGCCCTGCAAAGTCCAGGGAATCAATGCTGATTTGGGCTCAATTTTAGATTTCTTCACACTGTAGATGTTGCTGGTCTTGTATCTGTCACTTTCTCCCTCTTGTTGTCTGTTTGCTTTTCTGCTGGCATTATGGACCTTTTTACTTGAATATTAAGTTTCTATATTTGACTTTTGGATATATAGCTTACTCTGTGTCATGATTGAAGGTTATAATACACGTGATCTGAATGATATTTCAGGGGTGGAGGTTGTTTTGAACTAGATTATAATACACATCATCATTTTTTAATTTTTTGAACCTAGTGTTTGTTTTGCATCTCTCTATTTTTATTTATTTATTTATTTATTTTTCTTCTTCTGGTCTATGCTGCTCCAGGGAATTTGGAAAAAGAACTGTGTCTGGGTTCTTTGAGCAGCTGCTTCCAAAATGATTCTTTATTTTTTTCTTATGGTTATGTTTATGTTTTGCACTCATGAAAAGCTTTTGTATTTGTGATATTTTTCTAGAATAACAAGCTGACATGGAGGCTTTATATTTATTTACGACTTCATTTCGCATTTTGAAATGCTCGCAATTTCACTTTCACCAATTCCAGAAAAGCTACTTCTCTAGGTGACTTGATGTGGCGGTGATATCTATCACTTGAACCTCTATCCAAAAGAAACCAATCGATTGTTATGGTTGGTTCTTCTTGGTTATGTGATTTACACTTTTCATAAGAGCAACGGTACGCTTTTCATGGTTCCACAACCTGTATCTTATTTCTCATTGCCCTTTTTTCTACTTCGGTCTAATGTGACTTCCTGAGATGTAGGAATAAAAACAATATATGGAAAAAGGAAAAGATCAACAACATGAGGTTATTCATAAAACTTAAGGTAATTTTTATTTTAATGTTTACCTGCAATTTTTCAATCACAGAATGAATTTCTGTATGTTCCACCATGACTAACTTTCTTGATTTATTTATTTTTTTACTATTGGAGTACTACTATTGGCAAGCTGGCCCTTTTACCTATTCACATTTTGGTTAATTTTTCATGCTTGCTTTTCTGCTGGCATTATGGACCTTTTTACTTGAATATTAAGTTTATATATTTGACTTTTGGATATATAGCTTACTCTGTGTCATGATTGAAGGTTAATGATCTTAGATCAGACCTTATCTCTGATAACACAAGTGATCTGGATGATATTTCAGGGATGGAGGTTGTTTTGAACTAGATTATAATACACATCATCTTTTTTTATAAAAGTTGAAGAGTTCTATTTTAATATTGTCATTTAATCCCACATTACGTATAATTCATAAATCTTGGATGATTTTTGAATAAATATAATATGAAGAGATACTCTAGTTTTAATCCACTAATCATACTCAACTGAAAAAGCAATAATTTTTTTTATTATTATCTTCTCGTTCACACGACATGATTACACAAGAGGATCTAATCATGCGGAATGTAACATACTAGAACTTTAGTGAGTTTTCCTCACAAAATTTGGTTGAAGACTTGTATGACACTCATCACATGAATAACAAAATATGACCCAAATATCTTCAAATTGTTAAAACTAATAACAAAAATGATAATATATTCAATTATAAAAGGAGAGATATGTACATTGTCTACTCTTCTATCAACTTTACTCTATTTATCCCAAATAAGTGTTCCTCTTTCTTTTTCAGAATATCCCCAAATAAGCTCCTTTCTAAGAGTCAATATACTAAAATTCAATTTTCTTGTGGTTTGACTATGTTTGACTTTTCTCTTTTCTCTCTCTTCTCTTTTTGACGTCGGAGTCTTTCACTCCGGCGTTAGCCGTTTATGCTCGAGATTGTGCTACTGGTTCTTCGTTCTGTTGGTAAGGAATTGTGTTATGCATCGTTCCTATCTCAGTGTTACGACTTTACCACGTCTCAACCTTCATGGAGAAATCAAACGCTGCTCTATAGGCAACGATCTGGTTTTTAGGGTTGATCATCAAAGCATCAAGGAGCGAGAATCTGCCTTGCAATCCTGTTTTGTAGGTCGCTTTGATAGAGACGTGGGGAGTATTGACGGGATCGAGGCTTGGGCGTTGAAAACTTGGAAGGTATCAAGCGGGGTGAAAGTTTCTCCTTTGCCTGGCGATCTGCTTTTATTTAGGTTTCCATCGAAAGCTGAGGCCTTAAGGGTGTTGGATGAAGGGAGGAAGAGATGGGGCGAAGCTTTGTTATCCATCGACATTTGGTATTTTGCGGCTGGTTGCTCTGCTGTAAAAGAGAGAATTATACGAAGGGTGATCTTGTATGGTTTGCCTCTCCATCTCTGGTGTAACAAGCTATTTGAAGCAATCGGGAATTTATGTGGTGGATTTCGAGGTGTCGAGGCAGACGTCTCGGCGAATGGACAGAGAATCCTCCTCTATGTTTCCGTCGGAAAGATGATACCTGAATATGTTGAGGACCAACGTGTGGCCTTCAGGGTTAATCTGATAGAGGACATTACACCTCGTATTCTTCCAAAATCCTACCACAATCTTGGAGAAAGCCCTCATATCCTAGTTGTTGCAACAGCAGGTAGTCGCTGGAAACCACAGAACCACAAAGGCGTTGAAGGAAAGAGACGATTGCCTCTTCACGCGCCAGAAGCGCGTCGACGAGATAGATCCAAGACCTGTATCAGTAAATCCCTTAGTCATCGCCTTTTGTTCCCTCGTAAAATCCGCACTGACGGATACTAACCACGTGGCCATAATAGCGGCTTTAAAGATGATCGTTATGTTGCAGACTCAGCTAGGCCAAAATGTGGATCTACAAAGGTCTATGGGCCAATAAATGGGCCGCTAGTTAATTATGGCCTACAGGAGGTTAAGAGGGTTGTTCATTGTGGGCCTGTTTCTTTTCAAAATAAGCCCAGCCCACATTCTTTAAGTAATCTGAAGAGAAATGTTTTGCGGGGGCCCAATAATAAAATCTTAGTTTCTCTTATTAACTCCAAGCCCAGCCCACTTACCTCCACTGAAATAAGCCATTCACAGAGCCGTCGTTCTAACGAAACTTTCAACTTTTGGAATTCACCAGAGAAGAAGAGATGAAAGGATTTATCTGTTGTCGCGACTGGTGGAGATCCTGCAAGGAAGGGATCGCGTCACTCTCAGTGTTGTGCAGGTATCTCATCTTCAACCCTCTCCGATTTTACACAGACAAAGGGACGGATTCTCAGATCTTCATCTCGGGACTTTCATAATGGTGTTAGATGGTCCCGAAAAGAAAAGCAGAAATGGACTTCTTCTCCAGCTCCAGGTATGCCTTCAACTTCACATTCTCAGACCTTTTCTTCTACCCCTTCTAGTGAGGTGTTGAGGAGTGACGGCGTTGTGACTGAAGTGGGAAAGAGGTGTGGGATATCGGTAATGGACAGTGGAAATGGCCTTATGCATGGGCCGAATATAGAGGGAAAAGAAGATAGTGTTTCTGGTGTCTCTAGGCAGTTGGAAATTATTGATTGTGCGGTCAAGAAATTTTATGAAGGGGTTACAGTTTACGTGGGCATAGATTTGCATTTTCATTTATCCGATGATGAGGCTGTAGCTCTGTTCAATGAGCTTCAATTAAATGCAACTTTGAAAGGCCTTAATTGCAAGCCTTCTAAAGCGGTTGAGGGGGTTGATTTTGCAACTGTTTCTGATTCTTTTTACTAGAATGACAGAGAGTTTACAGAGGAGGCGGTTGATGATTCTGGTCTTCTCCAACAGGTTAGTTCCAAAGAGCTAGCACCCTGGTTGGAGAATGGTTCTGAAATTTTAGAGGAGGAACCACTGGCCATGGTGCGACCTGATGAGGAGGTTGCTGATTTGGGAAAAGATTAGGATGTTGACAATATAGGAGTCACTAGTGAGCTGTTGGGAGTCTCTTTAGAAGGTAATGAAGATCAGACGTTATCTATCCTTCAAGCGATTGTGGAAAGGAGAAAGGTCGCAGTGACCAATGAAGTTATGAACACGAGGCCTTTATCATCTTGGAAAGGGGCAAGGGAGATAAAGAGTCTTATTTCTGAAGTCAACTATGAAGGGATAAGAGGAGTGGTGAAGGAAAGGGGAAGGACCAGGAGTAGGAGTCTTAAGAAGGGTAGAGGGGAGATAATTTTATCAAGTTCTTAATGAAGTTACGAATTATTACATGGAATGTTCGAGGTCTCAACGATCCGAACAAGAGAAGGATGGTGAAGGTAACTTTAAGGAAGTGGGGTACCCAGGTTTTTTGTTTATAGGAAACCAAGCTGGAATCCATTTCTGACAGGGTGGTTAGGAGTTTGTGGGGAGGCAAGTTTGTGGAATGGGACGCTTTGAATGTTATAGGTACTTCTGGTGGGATTTTAGTTATGTGGGATAACAGATGGTTATCTAGAACGGATGTGTGGATTGGGAGATTTTCTGTGTCTTGTCTGTTTAATATGGAAGAGGACAATTTCAGATGGGTTTTCACTGGAGTCTATGGACCAGTTATAGATGATGAGCGACCTATCTTTTGGGAGGAGCTCAGTCATGTTCAAGGATTGTGGTCTCTCCCTTGGTGCTTAGGAGGAGATTTAAGAAGGTCACTGGAAATGGATCAATTTTTTGATTTTATTGATGAGCATCTTCTTGTTGATTTACCAATGGAAGGTGCAGCATATACTTGGTCGAATGGTTGGGATCCAATCACTCTGTTAAGACTGGATAGATTTCTAATTTCTGGGGTGTTGGAAGAGAAATTCCCGAATGTCATTTAGGCGGTGTTAGTAAGGGTTATCTATGATTATGTTCCTTTGGTCTTGGATTGTGGGGGCTTGTGTACTCGAAGAACCCCGTTTAGATTTGAGAATATATGGCTACGTGCAGAAGATTTCCAAGAGCAAGTCAGATCTTGGTGGGAGGGAGTCATTCTTTCAGGATCGCCTAGTTTCATAATCATAAAGAAGTTAAGAGCTCTCAAATTCGCTCTTAAGCAATGGAACAAGGATGTTTTTGGGAATCTGGAATGGAGGAAGAATAGAGTCCTTGTTGATTTTTCTGAGATTGACCGTCTTGAGGAAGCGGGTGGGAATGTGGAGTCTCTACGTTCTAGGAGAGTCTCTTGTCAGGCGGTTCTTGCTGAGATTGCTTGCATGGAGGACATCTCGCGGAGACAAAAATCTCGAGCTCTTTGGCTA